AGAATAGAAGAGCCTCAAGTCAAAATTACCAGGAATAGGAGTCACTGAAACAGTCATTCTTTTCTCTGAATGAGAAGAAAGGCAAACAATATGCAAAATCAAATCAGACTTGGACTAGTTCAGACTCAGGATAATGTCTACAACGCATTCAAAACATCCACACTGACCAGAAGTAGAACTTTTCCTCACATCGTATTTACTCAAGTTAAAATAGATTTTCATTAGTTGGCAAACTCTAAATAGAGAAACTTGTAGGAACATTTCACTATAAAACAGATTCTCTGGTCGTATTCACAACACAAGCACACACACACACACACACACACACACACACACACAAACAGACAGAGAGAGAGACAGACAGACAAAGACAGAGACAGAGAAAGAGAGACACAGGGACAGAGAGACACAGAGAAACACAGAGACAGAGACAGACAGACACACAGAGAGACAGAGACAGAGAGAGACAGAGAGACAGATGGAGAGACAGACACACTGAGTGGTGCCTTGCACAGTAAATCCCCAATCGTTATATAGAACTAAAAGCATTGCCTATTCTATAGCAATGATCCTAAAAGGCACAATCCCTGTGGTATCTAATAGGAAGAGGCAGGGAATGATGTTTCTGTATCATCTGGCTATACTGCCTTTTCCTATTCTCTAGATATTCTCATCTTACAAGAAAGCCTTTGAAGCTCAATATGTGCTAATAGCAGATGCTGGTTTTACTGTATTTGAACCATGAGGTCTCCTAGAACTCCGTAGCTCAGTTCAACCTGTCTCTGCCTCTTAGGACAGAGAATAAGGGGAATTTTTAAAATGGTGGTAAGTATGTCAAAGCAGAGAGGGCAGTTAAATAAATGAAGGTGTAATTACCATTGAGAATCCTATGTAGCTATTGACAATTATGTTTGGAAGAATGTGAACCAATGTGGGAAATATTTATCACATATTAAGTGAAATGAGCCCTCCATTAATCAATATCATAGCATTTAAGTCTGGTAAATATCTCCAATGAGCTTTTACTTTTTATTGCTTGGCTTAGATTATAAGGCAATCATGCAAAGCCATGACCATCTCTGGGAAATGGTATCATGGTTTTTTTTAATATATGGATATTATACATCTCTGCGCTAAAAAATCTTTACAACAGCCAGGTGGTGGTGGCACACACCTTTAATACCAGCACTCAGGAGGCAGAGACAGGTGGATCCCTGTGAATTTGAGACCAGCCTGGTCTAAAAAGCGAGTTCCAGGATAGTTAATATTATAGAAAAAACAAAACAAAACAAAATCCCTACAACAAGCTTGAGCTCCTGAAAGGCAATGGGTGTTATCCAGATGATCAGTTGGAAAAAATACTCAGAACACATGAGGCCAAGATGCCACCATGCTGAATTAACATGACCTTGATAGTTCTAACAGCTATCCACATTTACTAGTAAGATAAGAAATAGAACCTATAAACTAGAGAGCACTTGAGGGGAGCCAATGTAGAAATGACAGTTCTATTATTCCTCACCTCAGCTCCAGGAGGCAGAAACCTTTATCATCCTCACTTTGGAGAGGACAACACACTGGAGTTAGATGGACACACCTTACCAAAGTTGTTCTATTGATAACAGGTATAGCTATGATTCTGCCAAGATGCAATAGCTCAGCTCAATATTCTAGCAACTACATCAAAATGATGTCTCTTTATTTTTCCATATAGACAGTGAGGTCTCTCAAACAAATGATAGCAATATGTACTTGTCCATGCATGCCCATAGACTTGAGAATGGAATGTTATTTAAATAGGGACAGTCATCATCAGACTAAAGAATTGTCTTATTGGCTTTTGCTTGGAATATGGAGGTAGTGGTCCTTTTGTTCAAAACAACCACACTGACAATAAGGAGTTTCCAAAAGGAAATAAACTTGTCCTGAGGTGAAAATATTGCTGTCATATGGTTTATCATCTAACACAAATTCAAGCCAACTGCCATTTCCTAATCCCTCAGTGCAGCCAACACACTGCACTTTGTGTTTTTCATCCAAAATCTGAAGGCAATTACATTCTAGATCATTAGTGATGACAATTAAGTGGACTTGGGCTGGAGATTTATAGGTAACAACCTCACTGCTTTCTTTGGCCAAGAACATAAGAGATCATTGTATATTTGTGCTGTACAATGCCTCCTGCCTCCTTGGCAAGAGCTTCTTCTTGGAAGAGTCCAGTATGGTTTTAGTAGGCTAGTTGCCTTCCTTCCCCTCATTAGCAATGCCTCATGGTGTTCACTGTAACACAGAACAGTCCGAGTCACATTCCAAGTCAGTAAACCTCAAATACCAATGACATTATGTTGGATATGTAAATTTTGGTCAGGGGAGGAGTCCAGTGTATTATGGATGCTTAGTAGCATTCTGTCTCAAAAGCCAGTAGCTATAACACTTCCCTCCTTGGTAAATATCTGTAATAAAAATGTTTCCTGATATTACTAAGTGATTTCTGGGAGAAATTGCTCCACTGCAGAACTGATTGCACTACATTCTCAAACTTGGGTTAGTCACAACCTTCAGGACTAAATTGACATTCCCATGGAGCAAAATGACAGGTGTACTGGCCATGTAAGCTTGCCCTTCTGGCTGTAGTTGACCAGGCAAAAGTAGACATCTTGGCCCAAGTTGGACCACTCATACACATACTCTGTTGTCTCAGGAATCATATTTACAGCATGGGATCTTGGTTAAATATTCTTTATTGAAGCTTTGCTCTCATACTAAGTGGGAACAGAGTGGTGCCTTTTACCCATTTCTATATGGGAGCGTGAAGCAGATGCTTGAAGAGGGAATCAGGCTCTACAAAGGGAATTCAGTAAGCAAAGATCAGAAATCAAAGGGAGAACATTGACAGCAGCTGCCTAAAGGATTCCCCACAGTTGATTCACGTAGAATTCTTTTACTTCTTAAAATAACTTGTGTTTTCCTTGCCATAGCTTGAGTGTGGTTCTCTCTCAACCACCTATTGATCCATCAAGAAAAATACAAAACACAATCTTATCTAGGAAGTTACCCTACCCTGCATATCTAGAAGAAGAGTGGACATAAGTCAGGAGATATAATTTCTCAGTCATGCTCTATTACCTTGCACATGTGAGTCATTTCCCTGAGTCCCAACTCCCTTGGTGAAGAATTAGAAATTAAAATCACAACTACACCTTTAAAATGTGATAACTGCATAGAACCACAGGCTCACTGCTTGACCCAAATATATAAGATTATTCCAAATGTGGCAGCAAGATTTCATATTAGTCTATGATACTGCCCTGAAGAGTCACAGAAGAGGTGACTTTTGAAGCATGTACCAAACAAATAACCCTACTATCATTAGTATGTTCATTTATGCCTGCATGGGGAAGGAAACTGAGCCTCCACTGGTATCCTGCTTCTGACCTTGCCTCTGATGATCTGTATCTGTTTGCCTTCATGTTCTGGCAACCCACCTTTATACTGGAGAGGGTCAACTGGTGTAACCAACAGTACAGCAACAAAACAATGATACATAAGTTCTAAGGCTTTGCATAAAGAACATTGGACCTTGTTTGGTTTTCTTATAGGCACTCTGGAGAAAACCTACAACCATGTTCTAAAACTCCAATGGAGAGGTCCATGTGGCAGAGAACAATATTAGCTATGTGAGCAAGTAATCTTAAAATCTCCTGTCATCACCAGTCAACATTTAGAACTCAATTGCAGTTATATTGCAGCTTCTGAGGCAAAACCTCCCAGCTAGGTATAATTCTTAATCTATAGGCGAGGTAGAATAATAGTTAGAATTTAATTTAATCTATTTATTTGAGACAGGGTTTCATGCCACCCAGGTTAGTCTTGAACTTTCTTCTTAGCCAAAGATGACTTTGATCCCGTTTCCACCTTCTGAGCATTGGGATTACAGACATGCATAGCTACACCAGGCTTATGCTGTGCTGGGGATTGAACCCAAGGCTTTGTGCATGCTAGATAAGCATTCCACCACATGAACTACAATCCTAGTCCATGTTTAGTATTTTCAGCTGTTAAATTTGTGTGTGATTTATAACACAGAAGTAGACAACTTATACAATGGTAGTAAGATTTTTGGTAGGATTAGATAAAATAACATATAAGCAATATGTACCAAATTTTGGCACATACTCAAGGCAATGGTGTTCAGTCACATATATAGCCAAAGCAAATAGAGTGATATCTGGCAGATAATTAGTCCTCATCAAATATCTTTTAAATGAACATTAGTTCCTGCCAACTTTCAAACTTTCCTATCACTAACATGATCGTCATCCCAAACAGAATCACTTTCCAAATAAGTTGAATCCATACAATAATTTCCAGAAAAAAATTCTCCCACCCTCCCTCTCTCCTCCCTTTCCTCCCTTCCTTCCACTCTCTCTCTCTTGCTCTCTCTCTCTCTCTCTCTCTCTCTCTCTCTCTCTCTCTCTCTCTCTCTCTGTGTGTGTGTGTGTGTGTGTTTGTTTGCTGCTTTAACAGAATACCTGTTACTAGGTAACTTACAAACATAAATAAATAAATTCCCAATGCTCTAGAGACTTGGATGCTCAAGATCAAGCCCTGAGTATCTGATGGAGGCCTTTCATGATACATCACCACATAGTTGGAAGCAGAAAAGCAGGGCCACAAGAGGGGACTGGACTTCCCCTTTCAAATGGCACTAACCTCACTCATTATTGTGCAGTCCTCATGGCTCAGTCGCCTCCAGATGCCTCATCTTCCTGAACCATGATTTCAACATGAGTTTTGGAATAGACATTCAAACCTAACACTGAAGGAACCAAAGTCTCACATATATGATGAGTTCTGGCATTTAACCTCACAGCAGTTTAGGTACACCTTGACCATGGTTCAGAAACACAGCTGGTTTACACACGAAAACACATTGTATGTTGTTTGTAGTGAACTCATGAGTGAATATCCATTAGAGAGTGCTAAACCCCATTACTCACCATCCACACAGGAAGGTCGGTTTCTTGTTGTTCCAGCCACTTTCCCAGGTAGGCAGGAACACTTCACTGTTTGTGATCGCTCCTCTATGCGGTTCTTGTTACAGCACCTGTGGGCTGCGATCACTTCACAGGTCCCTCCTTCTGGCAAGACAATTAAAAAAGATGGACATTGCTTAGACCTAACCCTGACGTTACTTAGGCATATTAGAACACACAGACAGGTTTGGAGAAAATGACATAAATCATAGAGGGGTCCTGTGACATACAATTTTTAAAGAACTCTCTTCTATGGTTCATGCAGCCTCAGAGAACACAGGCATTGCAGTGCTACACTCAAAACAGTGAAGAACACCAGCGAATAAATGGGCTTCTCAAGATGTGATAATTCTGGGTTGGATGTAATAGAAAGCAGTGGAGTAGCAAATGCCTGGAGCTAAAATGCCAAGTAAAGAGTCCACCTGATTTAGATGCACTGAGCTGAGCACTCTTACCTGTGCTGACTGCATGTAAGATTCTCTGAACACCAACTAATGATGAGCAGCAAAAATCCAGTGATGCAGAACTTGCAGTGCCAGGAAAGCATCCAGGAATCAGTTCCCCTTCCCACTGCCTCCTCATGTTAGGGGCCTGAGTTGAATGAAAATCTAGTCCAGAAGCATTGCCAAACTCAGACAGTACACACGAATGAAAGGGACAATTTTTAGAAGAAATGGTGTGTGCTTTCCATGGCATGGCTAGACATAGGACTTAATTTAAATTGTTAGGGCTCACTTATGCATACATCATTGTATATGGGAATCCTAATGGATTCCACTCTGTACTAGCTCCTGGGTATGTGAGTTCCTGGGTCAGTGGAAATGTTGGTGATTATTCAAGTCACTCCTTTTGCTTTGGATTCTGCTGTTGTTGTTAAGCTGTCCATAAACTAGTCATCTTTCCGCATTATCCTCCCAAATGCTGAGAATATGGGTATGAACCACCACAACTGGCTTGGGTCAGTTTCTTCCTTCGTGGAAACAATAAGCTTTTCAAAGTTATAAAATGTATCAGGAATTAACGTTCCCACCTTCAAGTTTTGGATTCAGAGACAATGGTTTTCATTTTATCAAAATGGGCTCCTTGAATTTAGAAACATTGACCTTTGACATTCAGTCAGCAGAGATGGCCAAAATTTGTTGTACAAGTGGAATACATGTTGCTTATAAACTCTAAGGGGAGTGTATACTATCCAGACACATAGAAGGTACATATTGGCACACATGAAGATAGAAAGGGGAAACAGGAAAAAAAAGGATATTTAAGACTCTTTGTTCTCTGAGAACTTAGTTGCAATACAGTGTTTTATGTATTGTGGGAATAGGGCATGATCTGGTTCCTTCTTATCAACAATTAGAAGTTGAGTAGTTTGTTGCCTGTGATTACTAGGAAGAGCAAGATGCTGCTTGTGTTCTATAGGTAGAGAACAGGGATGCCATTAAACATCTCACAATGTTCCCTGACAGTCTATTGATAAAAGGGGTGACCTGACTCAAAAATATTAGTATTAATAAACAGTGCTGAAAAACCTTTGTCTGCTGTTGAAGAAATACACCAAAGTGACCCAATATTAGGTAGGTAGTCCTATCTCTCACAAAAGAAGGGAAGAGTTCAAAGCTTAACCCAGCTGATTTTCATTTGAATTTCACTCTTTCCACTTAGTATTTGATGGTCTCCGTTTCCTCATCTATAAAGTGAGAATAATAATCATAGCACCCATAGCTGAAGATGTGCAGATATCAACTAGAGAGCATACCCACCTAAGGATGTCAACAGTTAGCCTGAAACATAGTCCGAAGTCCTACAATAATACCTGCAACAGTATATGCAGAGAGGATTTCTGTGCTGATGTTCCTCTCTTTTTTTCATGTTTGATTTTGACAATGATAAGGATCAAAACCAGGGCCTTGTGCATGCTAGATAAACACAGTTACATCTTGTCCTGTCTCAGCATTTATGGTTTGTCCTGAAATAATATCTCTTAGCTCCTATCTACCTCCATCATTCCTGTGTATTAGCGCCTAGCAACCCAACCCCACCTCCCTCCAACATGGCTGTGGAGAGAAAGAGAAAGGGGGAGGTAGAGAAGGGTATACACATATGTGTACATATACATATGTGTGCGAGAGAGAGAGAGTGTGTGTGTTTTCATGAATTTTCATGAGAGCTAAATGCCAACATCAGTTCTTCAGAGAATGTCTCATAACCTCCACAACTATGCATTCTCTTAGTACTCCATGCATTTCCAATTACCCAGTAATCAATGTTTGTGGCTCCTCTCAGTCAAGCTGTAAACTGAGGCAAGATAAAGGTTATCATTTATTTCTTCTCAGTCCTATCAACATGGAGAAAGTCTAGAAGTCTTTTCTAAATCACTGAGTAAAATAAATGCATTAACTGACATGAATAGCAATAGGGCATGCCCCAGGTTCTGTAAACATAGGTGGACTGGGGGAACCATTTATGTGTGGAGACTACAGAAAAATTCCAAGATTCTGAGTTGAGCTGGCAGTTATGAAGAGCATGACTCATACTACCATGATTATCCGAGGCATTTTTAAGAAGTAATTTGATTATTATATAGTAATTTTAGATTTCCAGAAAATTGATGAAGGTGGTACTGAGAATCCTCATTTATACACCCAGTCTATACTATTCCCTGCCTGTCTTATCTAATTATTGACATCTCCAGTGTGGTGCATTTGGAGTTTATTTATTCCTGGCATTATGATTCAGTTCTGTGGTATCTGCTTGCTTAACATGTTCTGGCTTTGATGTCTGGGAGCTCTTTCATTGGCTTTGCATCACTTTGACATGTGGTGAGCACTGTATGCTTTTCACTTTGAGCACTCCCTTACTTGCTAACTCTTTAAGGTGCTCCAGGATCATTCTCGCTAACATATTTGAATTAATCAAAGTCTAACATCTCTTAGATGTCCTCAATTTTAACTTTTCCTACTCCAGGTTTAAACCAGGCAGATGACATTGTGTTCACTTCTCTTATCTCTCTAAGTGTCTCATGGATGTGACATTTTCTCAAATATTCATTGCTTTTTAATAACCTTGGCATTTTGGGGTAGACTGGTCAGGCATTTTGCAGACTGTCTCTCATTTGGGCTTTGTCTAATGCTTTTCTTATGATTAGAGTGAGGTTATGTGCTTTGGCAGAAGATTGGAAAGGTAAATGCCACTCTGTTCCCATCCTATCATCACACTATCAATCTGGCCTTGCCTTATTGATTGATGCTGAATCTGGTCACCACGCTGAGGTATCTGTTGTCAGATTTCTTCATTGTTATCCTATTTCCCCTTCCTTTCCCCTTTGTAACATACACCTTTGAAGGAAGTTGATGTGAACAGTCTACATTTAGGAACAGAGGGGTTATATTCTGTGTCCTAAAATTATGATAATGCATAATAGTATTTATAATAATTCTGCATTGTCTCTTTCTTCCCATTTTCTCTTAGTAATTTATATCTAGGTTTACTCATGGGTTTTATTTATGCCTAATATTATTATGTAGTGTGAGGTCACTTAACTGCTTCAAACATTTCTGCTTTGACTACTGTGAGGTTTCTTTTGGCTTTTATGTCCCCTTGCCACAATGACCATTGCAAGCTTGCTTTGCTTTAATCTTTATTCTGAACACTTCCCTTCTTGGCTCTTTAAGATGCTAAAAGATCACATTATAGATGTCCTGGCCTCGTGTTATAATCAGCCATTTCTCCAAAGCAAATATTGTGCCATTTCAAAATCATATCACAATCAATGAACTAAGACTTCAAGGCCAGGTGAGACAGGATTAAATTGGAGGAGGTTTCCTCCTTCCTCCCTCTGGAGAATCCTTTCTGGTGCAGTGTGACCAAATAGCAATCAGAAAAGACAATGTCCAGTCCTGATGTGGGTGTTGCTTCAGTGCCATCTCCTTGACAGATGTGTCCAGGAGGGACTAGAGAAGAGAACGGTGGCCAAGCAAAAGGGAAAAATAGTGTTCCTGCACCTTATTGAGCAGGAAACAGAAGACTTGAACTTAGGTCAATGGAAAGTATCTCTCTATTTCCACACACACAGGCCTAGGATTAGAGTTAATGGAATAGGGTCAGTTGTACATTACACTCTCACCCAGTCACCCATGATCATGTTGTTTTAGCTAGCAGTTGTCACCTACAACTACCTTCAATCAAATCAGTAACAGCTAGGTTTACACTTCATGAAAATAGCAATAATTTAAGTGGCTAGTTGGCTTTATTACCAGACAGCAGCAGCATTTGTGATGGAAAATAGCCCAAGGCATATGGAGGTTCCCAGGAGGCACTGTGAATCTCATTTGATTTACACTCAAGTCAGCAGCCATGGCAGATATACAAGATCATGAGTGTAGCATGCTGGATCCCAGAAACTTTACACGACCTCACCCCCAGCATATGAAAAACCAAGTCCCAGACAAGTGATAACTTGATTAGATGCACACAAGAGTGATTGCAGTCTATTAGCTTCCAAAGTTCATTGGTTTGCATCTTATTAAAAAATAGTGATTTCTTAGAGATCAAAAGCATTCATAAAATAAGCGTATCGTGTCTCTCAGGATGGTTATCAAAGCTAAATGCCGAAAATGCCTCTTCCCACTCCTGTCTGTGCCCTCACTGGCCACCACTCTCCTTTACTCTTCTGCCTCTTCCACAGACACTGGTCACTTACTTGGGGCAATCAAGCTAAGATACCAGACATGGTCTTTCCCAGGGATTCCCACCTTACATGGGAAACTATCCCTGCAGATCTCTTGCTCACTTTTAATCCCTCTTTGTCTTTGTTCAAATGCCATTTCATAAGAAGCCATTGGTTGATTACTCCTTTAGGATAATTCCTAATTTCCTTATCAGGCACACATGAGACCCTTACCTTTGATCTGTGTCTGACCCTCATCCTCTCCTATAGTACCTGCTACCTTCAAATGCTGTATGCAGTTTGTCACCCTTACTGTTTGTCCCTCACTGTGTAAACTCCTTCTGGAGAGGGGCCCCTATCACTTTATGTGCTAAATCATTTCTGGGGTATTATCAAAAATCTGTTCAAATAAAAGGAAAAAGTGTTTTATCATAACCTT